ATTACAAAGAGGATATCTATATCTGACTAAAATCACCATTTTTTTTTATCAAAAAGTGGATTTATACTTAAAATATAATGCGATTTTCGTTTCGAATCTCTGCGTACTTGAGCTACAGGGGCTGTAGGTCTCGCATCAGGGATTGTATTCATGACGAACAATCCAAACTCCCTTTCTCCAAATTTTTCTTTTCTTAAATAAGGACTTAAATAATCCATTTAGAATTAAGAAATGTTCATTATTTTCGTAACAAAAGGGCTAAACCTCGTGATTACGATGTTGCTTTTAATGCATTAGCTAATATCTGCCAAAAGGGCAGTTACACACTGAAGTCGTAATCAATAGTAATTGCAATTAGAAAATTGTTCTTTAACTATGATTATTAGAAATGGAAACTTCTTTTGATTGATAAAGTAATTAAGAAATCATGCTTCATTGAATGTATGATTACAAAGAAGATATCTATATCTGACTAAAATCACCAATTTTTATCAAAAAGTGGATTTATACTTTAAAATATAATGCGATTTTCGTTTCGAATCTCTGCGTACTTGAGCTACAGTAGGTCTCGCATCAGGAATTGGATTCATGAAGAACAATCCAAACTCTCTCTCCTCAAATCTTTCTTTTCTTAAATAAGGACTTAAATAATCCATTTAGAATTAAGAAACGTTCATTATTTTCGTAACAAAAGGGCTAAACCTCGTGTTTACGATGTTGCTTTTAAGGTATTAGCTAATATCTGCCAAAAGGGCAGTTACACACTGAAGTCGTAATCAATAGTAATTGCAATTAGAAAGTTGTTCATTAACTATGATTATTAGAAATGGAAACTTCTTTCGATTGATAAAGTAATTAAGAAATCATGCTTCATTGAATGTATGATTACAAAGAGGATATCTATATCTGACTAAAATCACCATTTTTTTTTTTATCAAAAAGTGGATTTATACTTAAAATATAATGCGATTTTCGTTTCGAATCTCTGCGTACTTGAGCTACAGAGGCTGTAGGTCTCTTTTCTTTTCTTAAATAAGGACTTAAATAATCCATTTAGAATTAAGAAATGTTCATTATTTTCGTAACAAAAGGGCTAAACCTCGTGTTTACGATGTTGCTTTTAAGGCATTAGCTAATATCTGCCAAATGGGCAGTTACAGACTGAAATCGTAATCAATAGTAATTGCAATTAGAAAGTTGTTCTTTAACTATGATTATTAGAAATGGAAACTTCTTTTGATTGATAAAGTAATTAAGAAATCATGCTTCATGATGATGTATGATTACAAAGAGGATATCTATATCTGACTAAAATCACCATTTTTTTTTTATCAAAAAGTGGATTTATACTTAAAATATAATGCGATTTTCGTTTCGAATCTCTGCGTACTTGAGCTACAGAGGGTGTAGGTCTCGCATCAGGGATTGGATTCTCGACGAACAATCCAAACTCCCTTTCTCCAAATTTTTCTTTTCTTAAATAAGTACTTAAATAATCCATTTAGAATTAAGAAACGTTCATTATTTTCGTGAATGAACGTTCGGGTAAAAGGAATAAGGTTGAGGCAAAGCAGAAGGAAGGAAAAAAGGGAGGAGGAGGAGAAGAGATCTTAACGCTATTCAATCCATTTTGATTTAACGGTCTTCTGGCCACGGCTCTGCCATTACTATGATAATAAAACTCTCTACGTGATATTTCCCATATATATATTATTATGATGATTATGATTATTACTGCCGCGCTGCGTGCGAGAGTGCCTTTTTTTTCTGTCTCTCTCTCTCTCTCTCTCGCCTCTTACTTCACTCTCGGGGATGGAGAGCCATTAAACGATTCCCAGCCCTCGCTGAAATATATAAAACGGCAGCGTCGGAGCGATAATCATAAATTTTAATTATTTACCTTCATCCCTTCAACAACAAAAAAAAAGCAACAAACAAGAGCAATTATATAACTAACCACTCGTAGCCAATCCACTCTCTCACTTACAAATTCAATGATATTCCTACAGTTATACATTTTGAAGACAACGAATTGAGATATAATGAAGATTAATCTTTTAACTCTTTGAGACACGCATTGTCCCACCTTTTGAACATACCTAATTATGCCTTATTATAATTTTCTACAAAATGTACAAGAAAAAGGAATTACCGTTTAATTTGCTTAGTATGTCAAAGTTCTCTGATTCAGTTGTCTATAAATTTAGAAATTTCTTGCCTTTCAAAGATGTTAAAAATAAGTATAAAGATGTTATTTATTTCTCATAATAAATTAAAATGTTCATGGTTCAAATCTCATTCAGATTCATCACGAAACCGATAAAAAATGTTAAATAATTGTAATTCAATCTTTAAAATCTAATATATTTATTTATTAAGATAATGTAGATTCGGTTTTAAAAACGAGTTAAGAAAGAAATTATTTAGTTTAACAATTTTTTTCTTAAAAACTTAAATCTCCGGACACTGTAGATTATCTCATAGTTATGTCGTTTTGGAGTTTTAGAGGGATTTATGAATATCAAATGAAATATTCTTAATTAGTTTTATTATACACATCGGAGTTTGTATTGACTTCTATACAATAGTTGATCTCCTGAATTATTACTAAGAGTTACATTTTCCTCTTAAGTTAGTATTTAAGAAGTAAGAACTCTTCCTTGGACTCTTCAAGTAAGACCATCTCCTCAGTTCAACCCTCTAGATAAGACTTACTTATATAATACAAATTAAGGAAATCAGTTTCGAGTGGAATATACAACCGTTCATCTATGTATCCTACCCAAATATTTAAGGGTTGAAGAAGGCTGTTATCACCACTTATAATAGACGCAACTATACTAATAATAATCTGTTAACAACAAAAAATGATTATAAAGATGTTATTTATCAATTTCTAATAATAAGTAACCAATTCAAGCTTAAATCCAATTCATTCAAATATTCATAGTTCATATGATTCAAAAATTTCTTCTATATTTCTGAGGTGTTTCATCCCGTAATTAAAGTACATTTCACTATTTGCAAACTTATAACGAGAACTTGTTATGTTTTTTTTTTGTTGTTTTTAGTGTAAGCTCGATGATGATTGATATTAACCTGACGCTCCCAAAGGAAAATTGTAACGCAGCAAACATCGAAAGTTATCGACGCTATAAATATAAATAAGAGAGAGAAAGAGAAGTTTCAAGACAAGATTTATAGCAGGCAATAAAAAAAAATAACGTAAACAAAAATGTTACATAATAATTGATTTCGAGTTGATATTGAACTCTAATAAACTATTACATAATTATTGGAGTTGTTGTTTTTTTATAATTGTTTAAATTCAAGTAAAAAAATTGTATTGAATGATAATAATCCATTGATTTTCAATACTAAAAAATAATAATTATGTGTACTTTATTAATGAGTTGCGTAATTTGAATCGATTAATGTTAATATTGGGCATCTTGTGTATGCATGTGGTGTGTGCTATACGTTTCTATTCTAATGCAATCCCCATTCAATGAGACCCTGAATGGCAAAGGTTACCAGTCCATATATATCTAATGCTCCTCGACTCGTATTGTTTAAAGGTCGCTTTACACAAGGATAGTAATCTCGAGCGAGCAGCAAATATAAGAACTGACAAGTACTTTTGTTTTGTTTGTTTATCCTCTCTTCTTTTACTAATAATCGAAATATTTTCGCTTAAATACAAACGAGATTTAGCAAAAAATATCAACTCAAACTTTTAATTATAAAGTCAAAGTTTCGTAAATTTCAATTAGATATTTCATTTTTAACATAATTGAAAAGTTTTCTAATTAATTTCATTGGATTTCATCAGAGAAATCCGGATTCGGATCAAGATTGAATTGGTTCAACGTAATTTATAAATAAAAAAAATGGTTAGTTCTGATGATGGATTTACCTCATTGAAGCGCTTGATAAGATGCGGGACTGAGAGCTGCTGGGCTGAAGAGGAGGTGGAGATGCCCGGAAGATTATCTGCAGAGGTGCCGGAAGCGCCCCGCAATTCCAACGCTACCTGCCGGACGTACTGAACTGGATGCACCTGTCGGAAAAGTTAGATTTGGTTGAGAATAATTTAGATTTGAAGGAAGTTGTAGGTTTACCTTGTAGAACAGTTGGTATTCGGTGTCGGCCAATCGCAGGGCAACCTCTTCAGGGAAGTGTAGCAACTCCTGCAGCTCCTCCAGCTCTGCGCAGTCACTCGTCTGCGCCGCGAGAGGAATCCTCTTCTCCAGCTCTGCAAAAGAAATAAAACAAAAAAAAACGTTAACAAACAAACAATAATAGAGTTTAAAAGGAGGTTTTCAAAAGAAGAAATTCGAATTCGAAAACTGTAAAAAAAATTTTATGATTCAGAAGAGGTTTTCAATTCATTTTTGGATTTTCACGTTTTATGTAATTACTGGTAAACCTCAAATGCTCAAAAAAGCAGTGTTTTCACATTTCATTGATTTTCGAATTCGAAAACTGTAAAGTTTCCTATTTTTTTTTATGATTCAGAAGAGGTTTTCAATTCATTTTTGGATTTCACGTTTTATGTAATTACTGGTAAACCTCAAATGCTCAAAAAAGCAGTGTTTTCACATTTCATTGATTTTCGAATTCGAAAACTGTAAAGTTTCCTATTTTTTTTTTATGATTCAGAAGAGGTTTTCAATTCATTTTCGGACCTTCACGTTTTATGTAATTACTGGTAAACCGCACACGCTAATTGGATCATCAAATATGAAAATTGAAGATAAATCAATGGCCTTTACAATACGCATTCTGAAAGATTTGCGGCATTTGTGGTTTGGACGTAGGAGGCTTCCAAAGTGCTGAATTATTATTTTTTCCAATACGCATTATTTATGTATGTAGCCAATGCAAGTGGATGAAATCTTGCGCAACAATACTTTTTTGATTACTTTTCGTATGAATAAAAAGTTATTAAAGTATGTTTGGTAAGATTTTGATATGTCTTCTCGATATGCAGAATAGATTGTTTTGCGTGTGAGGAGGGAGCGAAAAAAAAAAAGACACGCGTTGCTTCCTAGCGGATTAGCTCTTTCATCATCAAGGGTGGCGGCGGCGACGCTCATCAGGATGCATATTCATAGCCTGATCCGTCGAAGTAGTTCAAGGTTCTGCATGGGGGGATGGGTTGCGGAGGCGGTTTTTTCGGATTGTGTATTTGCGTGTGTATGTGAAGGCAAGAGGCGTAGAAAATGAAAATTCCGAATTCCGCACACGTACCGCCACGGGGAAGAGGGCCACTCGAGAAATTCAGAAAATCCGCTGCTGTTTACGTTCACGCTATGCAAGGCCGTCCCGTTGAGGATCAGAATGAAGGTGGGGTGGTGTTCGTTGGCGGTTGTTTCTAGATAGAGATGGTACTCTGGGGCGACGACGAGAGAGGACAAGGAAGAGCTTGTTGAGAGTATGAGTGTGTGTGTATGCAGAGAGAGAGAGATATATAGAGATATAGACAGAGAGAGAGAGAGAGAGTTATGTAATCACCGTCAGCGTGGAGGGTCGGGGGGCGGTGCTCATGAATGTCCGGCCGGAATTCCTCGGCAAGGTTCCGCACCCTCGGGCCACTTAAGTCTCGCATGACCCCACGACCTTGGCGGGGCGGCGGCGGCCAAGGGACGGCGACGACGGCCTCGGAGGCGGCGACCGCATAGCACACCTTCGGAGCACTCACAGCTCGCACTCACCACCAAAATTCGGTCCCGCGCCGCTTCAACGCGTCTCCACCTTCAGATCCACCTATCTGCAAGCAAACAAAAAAAGAAAATACAGTTAGAAGGTTTCTTGTAGAATAAATGTAAATGTATTGCAAAAGGATGATCAAACATAAGAAAAGAAACAAGTGAAAAAGCAGTCATTTCATTGATTTTCTCAAAAACCATAATAGATAGAATGAATCGAATAGATGCATATGAAAGCTGAATGTTTGGGAAATCGAGCATGTATCGATATATTACTGTGGTTTTAGCCGTTTGGCTATAATTCGTG